CGGGCGTTTAATTTACTTCAATTTCGACGGCCGTTCGGCTTGGGAGGGGGAATTTTTCTGGTTCCTCTAATCACTACCGATTCTCCTGTGAACACCTGTAGAGCTATGCAGTAGCATGAGCTTCGTTTAAACTTGACAGGGGGCTACAGGTCCCAAAAAGTGCGACGTGTAATTGAACAGGAACTAGCATAGGAAACTAGTGGAAGCGCAAAATGCCCCTCCTAAGCCGAATAGCGCCGTTTGTTGATATTGCTCACCGCTTCGGGCCAATGTCCCTGATATGTCGTGATGCTTTCAGGCGAAAGATGTTGTGGAGCGCACGAACAAACTGCTCAACAGCACTGGAAAGGGTATCAGAGAGGAAATTGAGAAGGTGACTGCTCAACTTGTTGTTAAAATGTATTTGTGCACTGACTTAAGGGCATCATTCGGGATGGCCGGATGGGCGGAGCCAGTTAATGGCGTCGTTGACGCGTCTCTTTTCCCGCCTTCCATCTCACCATAGAGGCCGGGAAGATGCGGGGAGGGGCGACGAATGACGTCCTTTCTTGGTTACGTCCATCCCGCGATCCCAAACATTGTCCTAAAAGGGTATTTAAGGTCCGCAATGCCCGTATTGAATTGGAAAAGAATCGCATAGCACTTGAGAAAGTGGGCGGAATCAGCGCGGAAAACCGAAATCGAGCTGATGAAATGCAGAAGCAGCTCGCTCTGCTCAAGGATAAAATCAACGAAGCCCGCGAAAAAGCGCAGCAGGTCCGTCGATTCTCTTTACAACCAGTCGATCGATAATCGATCCGCAAGCCGGTTTGTTTCAGATTCGAGTCTCGCTACGTTCTGATGAACGAGGTATCTGCCAGCGTTCGTTCATCTCTCCGATTCATCCATCTCCATCGAATTCGTTCTCCATTCGCTATCGTCCTTTGCGAAATGTCCCGGATAGCGCCATTTTCGTGACAAGGACCAAGCCACGGAGGACGCAACCCAGCGAGTTCATGGCCGTTGAGGTAAGGGATGACCTGGATGCAGGCCCAATGTGACTTTGAGGCTTCTTTTGCCGTCTAGTAATCTCCACAACCGGCCACAATCGTCCCAAAATTTCAGATTCGCGATAAACGGGTTGTGGCTCACTGGAACATCGGTGGAGGAGCCCGGATGGCCACCAACAGTCACTCAATTATGTTTATTCCAAATACGGATCGCGCAAACTGGTACCACATCGACGTCGTCCGAATTGGCAACGCCCTCAATCTGACTGTCGCACTCAAGGAAACTCTTATCGGAGCCGGTAAGCAACTCCATTTCACACGGAATCGCCAACTTCATCTGGTCTCTGATTTCAGCTCCTCGTCACCGTACTGATGCCGTTAGTGTTTTCGTGGGTGATGGTGAATGGGATGGAGACGTCGTATTCAACACTATTCCCGGAGAGACGCAGATTTCCATGGGAACCGACCCACAGAGCGCTGAAGAAATGGGCCTTGCCACGAACAAGGTACTGTAATTTTCTTACTATTTGATACTGGTATCCAGGTTCTGTGTTAGTTCCATGGTGTTATCGGAAGTTTGCTTGTGGACGGCACCCCGGTGCCACTTTGGGCATTCTCGAGCAATTCGCCTGAATGTGATGGAGCTACCTCACCACCACAGCCAACCGTCCGCGGATACATGTTCCGGTAAGTTCAGAGTGGTGGTTATTTCGTGAAAAAAAACGAGAAAGAAAAGGGGGGGGGTGGAAACCGGTCATGGTGACGTCGACATGGCCACCACAGTAGCCGGGGAAAGCGTGAATTACAGGAACGTCCTGCCTGAGGTCTATTTTTTATAATCATAACTTCGGGACGTACATTGATGTGAAAAGCAGCAGTTGCCGGCATGACCCCTACAAACGAAAGAGTCTGTGAAAGTGTGGGCGAGGGGGCGTATTAGAGCGCTGCCAAGACGGCTTTTCCCACCAATGATACCATCATGAATCCCGAATTCGGCGGGAAGGGCTGTTTTTCCTGCATCCAACTGTGATAGCGAGTTATGGGGTTGCAGAATGTATGCAAGAATTATTGGATACCCAAATAAAAGTGCCTGGCCTTGGGTTGCTACTGAAACTAGACTGTTTCGTGTTGGCCTTTATTTTCTGTTACCGTATGCCGGTATTTTCAGGGATGGCTTCGCCCAGATTGAAATGGCAACCTTCGAAAGAACAGTGTCATCGGTTTCAATCATCTTCAACGCCTATTCCCCCAACGGTTTGTTGTACTTCAGAGGGTCGGAGACCAGCGGAGATTTCATCGTGTTGTATCTGAAGGATGGCCACGTTGTTTTCAAGGTACGCTTCTACAACTTCTAAATTGTTGTACACTGGGGTCACAGAGACCTTTTACTTCCCACAGTATGTGAACTGCATGTAACATTCGTAGACATTGTGGCGTTACCCTATTTTGGGCTTTTTGTTTTCTTTTCATTTTGAATTTGCGGAACATTGAGGCTCGATTCTTTTTGATTTTAATCGTTTTCCTGGTTACCCATAAGTTCATTTGAGCATTCTAATGAAATCATCGGAATTTTCGGGGTGTTGGCGAGTGGATCAAGCAGTTTCCATCTAGATCCTTTATTTTTTACAAATTGTCATTAAGTCTCCACTTGATGCTCCTATTCGGCCGCTAGGTGCACATTGAATGCATAAGCAAAAAATTTTTCCAGACCTTGTTTTTTTCTTAAAGTTCATGGACTGTGCAGAAAATGATGAGATGTGGCAAAAGGCTTTGAGCAAGGCGGCACTCTGAATCAGCACCTCAAGCTTCTGTGCAAATGGCTATCCGCTACTCCTTTATACCTATCGTTCGCGCCTTTTGCAAATGTCATTTTTTTTAATTGTCCATTTTTCCTCTATATTCATTTGGTTCAGGCGAGAAAGAGGGCGTCGTGTTTGTTCGCGACAAAAGAGTAGGTTTTCTGCGAAGAGATGTGCCAAATTCTTTTTTCGGGTCTTGGGTTTTTTCATTGACTCATTCGCTTTCGTTCAAATCGATTGAGCAGAAAATCTGCTCGCATTCATTTCCGGTTCGCTGTTACTTTACTGTAATAGATAGTGACATGAGGGAGTGCAGAAAGTTCACTCTTCTGTACCACGATATAAGAGCGGCGATCTTTGGTCGTATGCGCTCTTCGAGGCTCACTCTGAAGGGAAACGTCAAAGTCGCGGCCTCCCTCGCGCCTCATTAATTACAGTAACTCCGGCCCTTCTTTCTTTCCTGAGTCATTGGTGTCAGTAAGCAATGCTTTAAGTATGCGCCTATATGAGAGTTGGAACGTATGAGCTTTCTGTTGAAATATGGTCTCGTCGCTTTCGACTCCATATGGGCTGTCAGCCAACTATCTTACTTTACTCGACTGCCAAATTTCGTTTTGGTCATCTGCTTGTTTAATTTTCGAATTACTTAAAAGAAAGAACCTGTCTTAGATCCATCTCGGACGCGATTCTCACGCCGAAATCACCTCGAAGCACGACTATGCAGATGGTCGCGAACATACTGTCAAAGCTATTCGCAGTGGAAATGAAATTCATCTCCAGGTAGAGGAATTGGCTAGTCAGGATCAAACCGAAGCTTTAAATTTTACTTCAGGTGGATAGTGATGCAGATCGATTCTCAACCAACGATTCCTGGCGAGAACACCGCCCTGAACATTGAGACTGACTGGCACTACGTTGCTGGAGTTCCAGCTTCCTGAAGACCGACCTCTTCGACGCAGATATTCAATGGAAGGGCTTCTTCGCTGTATGCTTGAGCGTGGAGCGCTCAGGGTCACTGTTAGCAAGCATGTTCTTAAACTTCGCACCCATCGATTAAGACATTTGACTATTGGGTGCTTGGTTTCAGACTTCCGATTTGGATCTGGACCATCCCGTTCGCTGGTTGCGGCGTCAGCCGGGCTGCCACTTCACTGCTGCCAAGTTGGTACCAACCGATCGAATAGTCGGATTCTCTCGGCCAGGATTCCTTCTGCAGCAAGGAGTCATTATGGATAACAACTCAACGTAAGGAAAGAGTTTCTTCACTTGCTTTTCTCGAAAGTCATATTCCAGTCGATGATTCTCGTTTAAGCTCTAGACTTTTGACCCGTACTATGACTTCCCCTTCCCGTCTGTCCACCCTTTCGTCACCCTCTGTCTAATCTGCTCCTTTAGCTTTGCATTCGGCTTCCGCACTAAAGAAGAGAATGGCACGCTTATCTTCCAGTCGTCAAAGCTGTCCGTTTTCCGAAGAAAGCAAAGAGAAAGCGAGGGGAATGCGAATGGCAAGGTTTGTTCACGTGATCATTGATTCAAGTGTATTTAGTCCTTCATGGCTTTTTTGAGTTGCAATCAATTCCTTTTCAGGGATACATGGCATTCTATTTGTTCCGAGGCTATCTGGTTCTCCACTTTGGAAAGGTAGGTTCGATAGAAATCTTCTTTGAAGATAGAAGAACATATGCGGTGCTGAGCACTTTTTCGCTGAATCGGTTAGGCTGTGGTGCGAATGCCGCGCACGCGACACCAATTGCGACGATCTGTCGCCGCAGTTTGGATCTCCCACCCTACACCTTTTATTTTATGATCGTAGGCACGGTCTACACCACTACCTGGAGAGCTAGTGGCGTTCAAATTGAAGTGAGCTCGTTCTAATGAAAATGAGGGGCAAGTTGTTGGAAATGCCCTGCGGTAGGTGACCGTGCTACGTCATGTCTGATTGTCTGTGCCCTCTCACCATATTGAGTAGTGTCACGTCCAGACAGCGCGCTACTACCTGTCACCTCCAAAGTGCCTTGGACCATGGAAATTTTACCACTCATGTTCAACACAGCGCCTAGACCCTTTGTAATAGTTTCAGAGTCTGTGGTACATATAGCATAGCCTTGAGATTATTTTATCCCTTCGAGGCTTAAATGAGACTCTCACCTTCAGGACGCTTCATCTCGTAAAGAAGTCGTCACGATCAGATCGAATCAGATGTACAACGATGGCCAACTGCATTCGGTGTTCATGAGTCGTAAAGGCAAAATGTGAGAGAATATTTGTGGTTTTGTTTTTCGGAAGATATCCCACAAGGTTGAAGGTTTTTCCTGGTTATTTTTTATATGAAAGATTGAACGTTAGTCACGAAAAACAGCTGATTCGGGGTCAGTGAGTATGTGGGGGTACGAACGGTGCAATTCTGAACTTTTGCGTCAGCGTTAGAGTAGCCTGCATTTTTTTAGGTCGAGAGAGAGGGATCACTGATTATTCTAGATATGTTGATTAGTGTAAGGTTGTTCACTAGTTCTGCTGAAGCTCCCTCCCCTCTACCGCAGAAATTGCAGGCTACTCTAGCGCCCAAAAGGCAGAATGACACTACTTGTCCTCCCCCTCCCCCATGTGCATACTGATTCTGATTTGAGAATGAGTCAGTCCAGTGAAGAAGTTGCAGAACTAAGAAATACTGTGGGTGGGGGAGCTGGGGATCACTCGACAGGCGGCTTTTTGTCTCTCGCTTGACAAACCCTAGGCTCAGAGAAGATTTCTTCTCTGCGAGGCTCTCACTTTGCAGCTCTGGTCGTCTGAGTTCTGAGCCCAAGCTTCGATTAGAGGAAGGAACACAGAGGATCGGCCCATTTGTCCCCCTCCGGCTGCATTGGCGCGGTACATGGAGCCCAAGCCTCCTATTTCTGGCTGAATAAGTTGTATATAAAAATTTGAGGGATGATCGCGGTTTTCTTCAGTGTTCGGCCTACGAGTCAATGATAAGGAGGTGGGCGAGAAGCAGACGCTTGACGACGAATCGCCGATTGGCACTACAGCCAGTCAAATGTTCATCGGAGGTCTGTAACTTGATTTGAATAGCAATTACAGTACCTTCGGAATAACTTTTCGTGGAAAAAAAACTGTATAGGCTTGGCATTTCACAGTTTCCAAAAATAATCTTATAGGTTTTGCTGAGGCGGATCAAGCGGCACGATAACGAGAATACCAATTACCGTACCGCTTATCGGATGCGTTTCCGACATTTATCACAACTACAAGTGAGTACGCATTATTTTATTACCCTCCACTTCTTTATGATTGGCGCGTGAACTGGCGTTCAGACTTCGCGATGACGCCATGTCGCGCTTAAACGACGGCGCTACCGCTCGCGATATGCCCTAATGCTATGACGGGTATTGATTGACTCCCGCTAGTGTTCTGAGAGAGTATAGAAGACCAGGGAGTACTAGTCTATGTGACCAAGCATGCGCTTGCGTCGTGACTCATCGGGCGAAGTCTGAGCGCCGCTTGATGCCGTTAGATAGACTATAGCTGGCATCCGCTAGTGAACAATTAACTGATATATTCTGCGACATTTTCAATCCTTTAATGAATGCTGGAACTTTTAAGAAAGATTCCGGATTGGGTGGCCGGAAGAACACAGCGGTCTGAGGATCGGAAACGTGCGCGCATCGAGTCGGCCAAAGCTCGCTTTCCCATATCCGGTTAGCTTCAACAGCTGTTTTAGTTTTTTTTAATGTCGCTTCGGCTAAACTCATCATATTTTCGCTCATTCTATAAAGCTTACACTCTTTTGCTTCTGCGAAGCGGCCTTACACAGGCTTGTATCTATTATTGAATTAAGTCGATTCATTATTCTTCCAGATGAAGATTATTAGATGCTCAACTAAGTTTGTGCCCCGAAACTTTCCCAAACTTCGTCGATTTTATCGGTTTTTTATACATCTCACAGTGAGGGTGTGGTGAGAGTGGAACTGGGAGTCGCGCGACTGAATGGCTCGAATCGCAAAGTATGAATGCGCCTGCTACAGTGGCTAATCGTTGTATACTGCTGCTCAAGTTTGGAGGAAGTTCTATCCGAAAGGCGATTGTGAGTTGCTACTGCATCGCGTTCAGTCGCAGTCGCACGATTCGGAGTGTAAACGCGATCCAGCGCATATGTCTCTACTTCTCTTTCGTCTGTACCCACGCAGTCGTCGCCGCTCTTGCAGCCACGCCCCTTGCTGCCGTCAGATATGCAGTATACACCCGTACAGTGCACGAACTTTTGAACATCTATTAACTTCTAACTGATTCTGCCTATGTCATTTCGCTACGTTTCTTGATTTATAGCTAGTACACATCGTCATAGATTTTTTTTGCTAATCAATAATGCTGTCACAGATGAACCGTTGGATCCGAAACCTATAAGCATCATCGGAAAGACTCACGTTTGAGTCATCAACTGGACAGAAACTTTTATGGTAGCTTCTTTGATTTGATTTCATAGCATGCACGATGTAATGCTGTCATGGGCACTGTAGCAGGGCACAGCATTCGATGGGGATTTTGGTCGAGCTCGTACGACCCCCCCCTTTTTGGGGGGTTCGGTACGACCCCCCCCCTTTTTTTTGTTTGGTTTTTTTCCCACAAAAACAACTGACAAGTACCCAGAGCTAGCCGTTCATAACTTTTTCCTAGTTTTAGTGAGCGTTCAGGAATAGCTTCGAGTTGTTATTTATTGTTCCCTACGTGAATCTGAAAAAAATCGAGAGGAAATAAACACAACTCAAAGCTATTTTGAACGCTCACTAAAACTAGGAAAACTTATGAGCGCAAAGGAAGGGAAAAGGAGAAAAAAAACAAACAGGAACAATAAACATGAACGATAAATAAATGAAAAAACATGGTAATGGTACGATAATAATGAAAATAATCGATTAAATTTGTTAAAACAAATGAAAATCCAGTTGTTGTGCGCAGGACCCCAGTGCACTTGATTTGAGGGGCAGAATTTCCGCAGAAATCGTACGGTAGCAGAAGTGCGTGTGTAATTGCAGCTTTGACTGGAGCAAACGGCTATTAGCCATGGAGCGAGAATTTTCAGCAAAGTAGGGTGTCTTTGAAGGACCATAACTTCCTCAAAAGCGGACCTGTGGGGAAGAGGAGAGCGTATTGGTAAATTAGAAGGTTTGATCTTCCTGAAAGTACTAAAATGTTCATGAAGGTCGCGAAAATCACAGAGAAATCTGCCATAGGGATTCGTTGGGGAGTGAAGGGTTGAAGTTCGAGTTGAACAGGGTTTTGAAATCAATATATTTTTTTTGTAACTCAACATTTCACAAATCTGAGAACGGATCCGAGCTTCTCAAGATTTTCTCTTTCTAAAAACCTATTGAACTGTTCCTGAAGCTCTCGGGATTCATGAGATCTCGCGATGGGGATTTCTTAGGGAGCACTCCCAGCCGCGCGAAAAACCCGTTTCCTGTGCACCGTTTCAAGTGAGCGTGTTCGAATAGCCAGGAACGCATGTAGAACGTATCCTGTGGTGGAGCAGGAGCAGGATATGGTTCGTTTAGCGCCGATCACGCTGACTTTGGATGCGCCGCGCACTGAGGTCCGCGCAGAGGTGATGGGATGGTGCAACTTGTGCGTAATGTCTGTTCACGCGAGCAAATGTGTCTATAGTATTCAGGGAGGTCTATGACGAACCTGTGCACTTGTTTACAGTGTTTTCCCTTGTGGATGATGGAGCGTGTCTGTGTCGACGCCGCCCGATCTGTGCTCCTCCAATTGCTGTCTCCGATAAAGGAGACCAACTGCTGGAAAACGTGTGATACGAACGATATGGTAGTCGCGTCGCTTGTCGAAAAAAATAGGCTGGATCAGCCCCAAGCGCAATCGCGGACACGCCCCATCATCTGCAGCAAATCAGAGTATGCGTTTACTGTTTAGTCATCAACGGACTTACGAGATGATGTCGACTCATTTAAATTCCAGTTATTTCGTATTTTTATAGCTGAAAGTTTTGTCCTTTTTTTCAAATATCCGAGTTCTCTACAAAGTAAGCTTCGCTGTACCGGACTCAGCACATTGACACCTTTGCGCTGCTCGATACTGGCTACGCACTCATTACGACCCCCCCTCTCCTGGCGGCCAAATACGACCCCCCCCATGGGGATTCCCCAACCAATGCTGTGCCCTGGCACCG